CAGTTCTAAAGAAATTAGTTTTCAATCTAGAATTGGTAACCCATTTCTAGTTAAACTTAGTCATGAATGCTACCGATTGAAATCTGCACCATTGTTTCACTTGCCGCCCTGGGAGATGGTGTAGAACCCCCGCCCCCTCTGGGTTACAAGTGCAGTGCCACTCACCATTACTACACCACCACCAAAAAAACAACCGCCGTTCACCACTAAACGGTGGTGACATCGCCACGGCGCTTGTGCCATGCTAGGTGCACTGTGAGGCCATGTGGAAGTTTTGAATGCCCACTGGCATGAGGTCACGAAACAGACCCTGGTGGCATCGGTTGACTTACTCAGATGACTGGAAGATGCGCGAAGTGTGCTCCCCACTAACTTTCTACGATTTAGCCACTCGGCACTCCGTTGTTGCTGGAGGGCGACTACCTCGAACTCCTCAGCAGCGTCCTTCACTACTACTACCACCACCTACCACCACTGCGGTGGTGGCGGCGGCTACCTGCGCTTCTCGTTAAGAAGGTTCAACTGTCGTGTTCATTAACCGATCTACACTCATTTTCCCCTTGCGGTTACCGCCAATGTACAAATAACAAAGCTCACCACCCCGATGCGTGCAACGCCTGCAGCGCGCGTGAGTATCTGGCGAGCGGTGACGCAGTGCTTATCACCGCACCACGAACCAAGGCGACTAGAGTTCGATTTATCTGAACCGGTCCTGGGCCTCCTCTTAGGTCGACTCAGCCGTTAAAGAGTAGCTTGTGTGGTGTATAAACATCATTGGAGAGGTGTCGGCTGGGCGTGGTGCTGGCCACACACCCCCGTCTTAATAGGTACAAGTCTATTAGGAGCTGTACGTAGGATATTTGGCTTTGTACTAGCAACTCGCTTTATATCTACTTCAGCGTCACACTCAACAGCAGGCGAACTACTCGGTCCACTCATGCTGTATGGTTGTAGAATTATGTTCAGCATCAGACTTCCAGGCGATTTAAAACTTAATTCTTACGCTCTCCTCCCCGTAAATCCGCGCAATTGCCTTGTGCAATGGTGAACTGTTGTGTGTTGTGTTTGTGTCCAGTGTTGTCTGCGCGTATGTTGTGTATCTGTGGGGTGTATGTGTGTGCATGCGGTGGTATTGTGCAATGTATGTTTCATGTATACGTGCTGGTTGTGTGTGTAGTCCGGGTTTGTTAAACGATAACCGGTAACCGTCTTCTATAACGGTTACCGATTTCCAAAAGTCAGCATCCGGTAACCGATTCCAGTAGAATGCGAGTGACAAATGCACCGATTGAAACCGACCCCACTGTTCCAAATGCCCCGGCAAGATGGAATCGAACCTCCGGGTTGCAAGTCGAATGTGCAACCATCACCGCATTGCGACTGCGGTCATCCAGAGCAGACCGTACGACCCATAACGACGCAATGCCCGATCCACAAATACGAAGGAGACATCATCACAGCAATTCCAATCCGCTGCTCCTGACGCGGTTATCTTGCCCACCTGAACGTGAAATTGTGGTTGTTGCTCTGCAACTCCAGCAGCCGTACGAAAGGAGACCGCAACGCTGTGGCAATTGTCTTCACTTCTCAGTTAAAGCGATGAAACGCGTGGCATTTATGGCTCTAGACATTCACGTGTGTGCCGCAAATCGGTAACAGTTTTTTCAAGTGGTTACTATTCTAAAAACTCTAGTACGATGTATATACATAGTGTGGTATGTCGGGAGTGCGTGGTGTGTATATGTGGCGTGTAGAGTTTGTTGGGTAGTGTGCATTGAATGTATCTATCGTGTGTGTAGTGTATATTTATACGTGTGGCGTATGTGTGGCGTGTACGTCTGTGCGTAGTGTATGCGTGTTTTGGGTGTATATGTAATGCATGCGTGCTTAGGGTGTATATAGTGTCGTGTATACGTTCGTGCAGTCTATATATATACGTGTAGTGTGAATCTGTATATTGTAGTGTACGTATTTACTTGGGAGTATGTGCGTGTGTCAAACAATGGATGGCGGCTGACTTAGCCCATCATCCATCAGGGATCGATAAAATAGGCATAGAGGCGGTGCACCTCTCTCGTCTGCAGCGTTCAACCCCCACAAAACGGAACTTTACCCCCCCCCCCACCATGAGCTGAACTCGCAAACTTCCAATCGGTAGCCGCTCGCTCTGCCGCCCCAAATAGCGACTTGCAGGCGACGAAGGCAACGGGAGAGTTCGTCCCTGCGAGGAGCCGTGGACCGACTGTGAAGCAAGCAACGTCCACGAGAGCCCAAACCGCGCGGCATCACAACGTGAGGCTTGGTGTGAAGCTACAGAATTGACAGAGGAAGGATGAGTGTCTATTGCTTTTAAGTTGCTTTTCTTCAACCAGGTGAGAACTATTCAAGCGCCCAGGATAGAAATCTCATTTGCAGTAGTGACCTTGATCACCAAAATTACAAAATATAACGTAAAAACAAGTACAGCAATACGGCCAATATAAATGAGAGCAGATACAACCAGATAGCAATCAGAGTAGCGAGGGTGGGTAGGTCTGTGAACGAGTCTGTGGGTGGGTAGGTTAGTTGAGTAGGTGGGCGAGTGAGTGAGTGGGTGGGTGAGTGGGTGGCTGGCTGGGCGAGTGGGTGGGTTGTTCCAGTGTGGTGATTGAACACATTGTGGTGGATAAGACGAAATTCCAGTCAGTGTCTGGTAGACCAGAGTCCTCAACACGGGTGGAGGTAGGAAAGTTCACAGGAACAGGAACCATCGTCGTAGCAATAGAAGAGTGACGAGGAGGTGCCTGATCGCCGGTGATCGAGTGACCAGAGCGAATCAGCGAGTTCTGGGCTATCAATTGACCCTGGCTACTTTAATCTGAATTCCCTCGAGTGCAGCAGTGAGGCACAGGGACAGCAGCCGTAAATGTTCGCCGAGTTCTTCTCTGCATGACGATGAAAGTACAGATGTGACGCGTGACGAGGTGACCAGTATGAAGAGGGGAAACCTCTGGACCAGATGGAAGAGCTGTGGACATTATCAACGCATCTGGATCAAGTATGGAAATACAATTATTAATGTTACTAAGCACACATACATTACACAAATAAAGACCACCCGTGTACTCTTTGGGCAAGGACTGCTAGCGGCTTGGCAAGGCCGCCACAGCGCACCCATGAGAGGGTGATGGTGCTCGTACCACGCCGGCCGCCTCCGCTTCCCCATTGGTGATGCTTACACACCGCACCAGGTATTGGTTTAAAGCCCAGTCAACCTCGGGGAAGCCCATGGGTGGTTCAGATATTCGTCACTGATATTGGCCGTGAGCGAGAGTCGAACTCGCGTCGCCTCGTTCGCAATGCAGCGCAGTGCGAGCCACTAGGCTGTGTAGTGTTACGGTTTGCATGTACTTTGTTGTATTGTGTTGTGTTAAGTGTACGAGAGTTGAGCAGTGGCGTAGTGGTTAGCGCACTGTGCTACGAACCCGGCGACCTGAGTTCGATTCCCGCTCACGTTCAACATCAGCGGCTACTCAGCCTTAAAATAAGTACCTGCGTATGTCGTGTCAACATCAGCACCGGGGAGACAAAGGCGGCCAGGCGTGGTGCTGGCGGCATTTATCGGTGCACACCAACAGGGGAGAGACGCTGAGAAACGGCGGGAGTTGGAGATGCGGAGGAAGAGAGAGGGCGAGAGGAGATGGAGGAGACACGGGGAGAGAGGGCGAGAGCAGATGGAGGAGACACGGGGAAAGAGAGGGCGACGCGTGTTGGCACGTGGAGAGGGGGAGGAGAGGCGGGGGAGATGGAGAAGCGGGCAGAGCGGGAGACACGGAAAGAGTCTTCGCGTCACGCGTCATTAGCTCTCCGTGATGGTCGCGGCGCTGATGATGAGCGCTCATTAACGACTCCAATCAGGCGGAGTGGTCACGGAGACTGGCGCGGAGTGGTGGCCGCAATCACCGCTGCGTGTTGATGTTTTAGGGATAAAAGTCGCGGCGCGGGGACCCGAGACCCTGGGTCCCTGGGTCCCCGGGAGCTCTGGATCCCCATCACTTCCAAAAGAGGAGAGCGGTCCCCCGCCCATCTACCCACACCCCAACTTACCCCACTCACCCAACTCATCCCAATCCCCATGTTCGCGGACCTCGGGCAGAGTTTGGTAGCTCATCTCTCCATCCCCACTCCCTCTCCCATCTCTTCTCTTTATTATTGCTCTCTCCCTGCTCCCCTCTCTGCCGGCTCTCACTTTTCTCTGTTTTCTCTCCCCCATGCCGCCCGCGCTAATGCGGCCCCGTGGCGTGAGGACCCAGGGATCCGCGTCGGAGATGGAGGGGGGGCAATGGGAGATGCGGGGGAGGTGGGCGCCGCTGTTTTCTTGAGGACTCGCAACCCAGGTCCCTCCCACCCCCCTTCCTCCTCCCTCCCCCCTTCATCCTCCCTCCCCCATCCTCACTCTGCCCGGATCAGGTAACAGCGACGATGGGCGGGGAGTGGTGGAGGGGAAGCGAGCGGGGATCCGGGCGGGGGAGGCAGTGGGAGGAGCGGGGCGTGGGGGACTCGGCGCTGGAGCGGGAGTCGCGGAGTCCGGCAGGGAGCGCGGCGCGCGTAGTCGCTGCGCTTCGTGAAGCGGAGCAAACTCCTCGCTCAGCGAGAGAGCCAAAGAGAGCGTTTACCATGAGCGATATTACCACGGCGTGAGGGTGCCACGGGAACACGGCTACCACATCACCACCCGCTGCGAGAAGAGTACCATGGTAATTCCCCACACCGGCGCCGTAATTACCACGGTCATTGCCATCAGCAGCAGCCGCAGCCCTGCGGCGCTGTGATTGTACCATGTACTGGAAGAGCGAGGGACTCGCGGGACGGGCCGCGGGCGGGGACAGCCCGAGACAGGTGAGGGAGACGGGGGGAGACGCGGCGGGAGGAGACGGGGGTCAGTGGCTTTGGGGGACGAGAGCGGTCAGGGAGGTGGGCTGGGGTTGGTGTCACGGGGTTAGGGTTCGAGTTACAGGGTTGGGAGTTCGCGAGACGTGAGGATCTGTGCGGAGCGACACATCTCAAAGCCAAGTCCAACTCATACACTAACCCTAAATCCTACACGAAACCTTAACCTGGAGTCCTTATCCCAGATCCTACACTAACCCTTGACCCCAACCTTTACACAAAGCGCCAAACGGACTAACAGCCACTCGATCCCTAACCTCAATCCCGTGCGCTGGAATCGGTCGATGATAATAACGGGTTAGCGTGCTGGAGTTAGTGCTAAAGTCATCGTGGTTTAGATTGATGCTGGAGTTCGTGCTGAAGTTATTGTGGTTTAGATTGATCCTGAAGTCGTGGTTTAGATTGATGCTGGAGTTAGTGTGGTTTAGCTTGATGCTGGAGTCAGTTCTGAAGTCATCGTGGTTTAGATTGATGCTGGAGTCAGTTCTGAAGTCATCGTGGTTTAGATTAACGCTGGAGTTATGTTTGATCAATTATCAATCGTAAAATGTGTTGTTGCTTAGAGTTGTGTTGTGTTTAGCCAATATACACACGTGTGTGTCCACGCACACAACGTACCCGATCGATTCTATATACTGTGTCATTCGGCTTGTCTAATGCGTGTGTTAATACACACAAGTGTACACGTGTGTTAGGGCTCACGTGTGTGCTAGTCTTCATGTGTTTTAGTGTACACGTATGTGTTAGTGTTTACGTGTTTAGGTTCATGTATGTTACGGTTCACGTGTGTGTTAGGCTTCACGCATTCGCGCTCACGCTCAACAGTCGCGGGAACGCAAATCAACAGATAAATCACAGCATTATAGCATTAATACACAAATACCATCAACAGAGCACAACACCGCGACAACTACATAACAGCAACCACCATAGCAACAATATTATATTATACAACCCGACATCATAGCGACACAACCTCAATAGCAGTAACACAATAGAACAAAACATCACTGTATACAGGAACTCGCCGACACAAGGACGAAAATCATTACAACTGTGAACAAACATGTACACACAACACAAATGGTGACAGTGCCACATTGACGGGGCGCACACAAAGCAAGACAACAAGACCTTCATTAAACAACAGAGGCCCCGTGTAGCCTCAACAGACTGTTGGGCCAACGGATGTTATAGCGAGCGCCAAAGAATGACAATTCGGCGCACAAGGGGGTGGGTGAGTGGGTGGCCAGCACCACGCCTGGTCGCATTTGCATCCCCAGTGCTCGTGTCCACACACCGCATGGGGCACTCATTTTAGGTGGAGTCGACCTTGGGGATGATGCTCAGCAGCGGTTCAGAAATTCGTCACCGATGTTGGTTGTGAGCGGGAATCGAAGTCCGGTCGCCGGTTTCGTAGCTCTATTCGGTACCCGCTGCACCACCGCTGCCCATTCAAATAAACGAAACACCACCACCAAACGACTTGTACACAAACAGAGAACAACAACATGGGCACAATGCACCAGACGCAGGGACACAACTGCGTGTTCGCGGTTGTGGTTAACAGCTCTCCGATGCGTTTTCGAGTTCGTGATTGTATGCACACGCATGCTGTTGTGTGTGTGTTCACGTGTGTTAGTGAACACGTGTGCGTAAAAAAACCCGCTCACAGCACTTGCCCCAATAGTATCTTAAGGCTGTAAAGGGGATCTTTGTTCTCACCCGAAAACACTTTTAATAGCTAAACGGCAGCAGTAGGCACAATGCAATACAACGCAACGTTAATACAACCTTGAGAAGTTAACGCAACACAATTAATCCACACATCGACAAGGCTGGTATCTGGAACCGCACGGGTCCTTCCTCAGCCCCGGGTCTTGGGCGCCGTGAGGCCGCACGTGTATCCCACACTCACACCTCGTACAGAGCTATAGACGATCGCAACTGCGCGATTTCCCTTCTGATGATGTTCTAGAAGGGCTAGTGAACTCAAATGCGTCACAAGTGTACTATGCATGCGTCTGCACGTTTTTGTGTTCACGTTAAGCAATGTACGTTCCATCGCGTGTGAACGGGCTCAGTGCAAATGAACGCCGTCACCATCGCAGAGTCTGCGTTTCACGAACGCGCTACCCACGCTCGCGAACGGATGATAGAAACCCCCCGCGGTGTCCTCGAAGGGCGAGAGAGAGAAAGGACGAGAGAGAAAAAGAGATGGCGAGAGAGATGGCGAGAGAGAGATGGCGAGGCGGCGTTTCTCGCGCCGCAAGGAGCCGAGTCTCGGCACCGCCACGCGACCGCGAGAAGCGCGGCGCTCCGGCGCGGAGCCCCAGAGCCGAGGGCGCGGGGCCCGAGTTGAGGCCCCGGGCTCAGGGCGGCTGCAGCGACATTGGTGAACCGAGTAATTCGGTGAACCGAGTAATTCGCCTCCCGTGGAGTGTGACGCTGAAGCCGCGAGAAAGCGGGCAATGCGCAAGTTATTGGTACTTGCGCATGACAGGGTGGCAGCGTCGCCTGCTGTTGCAGCTGGCAACGCGCGTCGCCTGAATGGAGTTGAATCCACCCGGGCACCAACCGTGGAGTGAAGCGCACCTCTGTGACGTCACTGCGCACCTGCATGAGCAATCAGAGTGCAAGCGCAGCGGAAGATCCGTGCCGCGGCCACAATTGTTATCAATGAATTGATTGGTAAATTAATTGGTTATTGAATTTGAATGGGGAGGGGGTGATGATAAACCAGAGTCTGAGTTAAATTCCGGGTGCGTGAGCAGCCAGGCGCTCCGCGTAGAACGACTCGGCGAGCGGGAGTCGGCGAGACGCAAGGTACGGGACAACATTCACTCAACTCATTAACTCAACTCATTCACTCAACTTATTCACTCAATCAATGCAAACAATGGATATTTCCTTGGCAGTGCTGCATAAACACACGTAATACAAATTAAACACAATAGGTGGACGACGTTTTGGGCTATAGCCCCCTCTAGCAGAGATCGGAGCCAAAAAACCCGAGAAACCCGATTTGTTTTCTAAGATATTGTGCCTCAATTCACTCAATCAACTCATTCACTAGAGCAGTTGTAGTTATTTTTGCACAGCTTTACATTTGCCTCATTGCTGTACTTAAATGTTTTTGTTATCATTTTAGTGACCCTGGTCACTTGCAAATGAGACTCCTCCTGGCTAAGAGCTCTCGCCTGGCCACACAGAATTTACTTGGCACCTGAACTCATTCACTCACCCCTAAAGGGTTGTTTTACACAGTTACTGGGCATAAACTCAGTGGACCAAAATGCCAAGCGACCAGCAACAAGCTGCACGATCAACGTTGCAAAAGACGAGTGTCATGTGTTTCGTGAATTTAACGGCACGGTTATTGTTCTAAGAGCTTGTCGAGAGAGACGGTGATGATCATGGGATAGGGAATTCCAGAATCGAGCAGTGCTAGGGAAAAATCGGAGAGAAGTATTATGGGTGGGCGAGTGCGTTGCTATGAACTGCAATGTGGTGGTTGAACACCGCATATTATGGAACTAGGAAGTCAGTCTGGTAGACCCGAGTCCTCAACACGGGTGAAGGAATAAATGAGTGAAGTCCACGCAACAGTAACCGTGGAAGTCGAATAGGTGGAATGGAAGGCGGCTGACCGTCTGTGAGCGAGTGGAATAAACCTTCGATTTATGGATCGTCCATCACCCTGGTAAATATTCAAGGTGTCCTGCTGTTTACTCATTGACAAACGATCACAGGTACGCGGCTAAATTTTGATTTAAAGCTTTCGTGACTGCAGTAATTCATATCTTAGTTCTTTCGGTAAAGTCACGTTGAAGGGAAACAATAAAATAATAATATATATATAAAACAATAAACATTCTCACGACGTTTCGACCATAACACAAACGGTCGTCTTCAGGTGTGGTGTAGGTACGCGGCTGCTTTGTTTCATTATACACAACGTTGTTTAAGCGGAAAGCACGCTTGTGTCTGATAAATATGAGATAAGATTTCCCGTTAACGCGCCGCCGACTCCGCGGTAACAAAATTACGGCGCCGAGGCCTGCGATTCCGTTACCCCCCCCATTGTGCTCACTCCCAGTACAACATTCTGTATAGTTGCGTATCATATATCGTTACGTATTAACTTTTCACAGTGGTATCTGTCCGCGTGTACACGCGGCTATGTTGAAGGAACACAATTGTTACTGTTGAGTAGTGTTAGCATTACAAGTTGTTGTGTATACACGCGCAGTTGTGCTCATACCCAGTTACATAACATTACGCACGCGTGTGTACATACACACATCTGATACAAGTGCAGGAAATATCTTGTTGGTTTGAGCAGTGTCACAATTCTAACGATGCACTGGAAGAGTTAAACCCACTAGAGTAATAATTATAATGACATCCTATAAGGGTTAGAGTAGAGAGCTCAAATCTCGTAGAGATAATAATAATGAGAGGACTCCGATTATCGCCGCAACGTGAAGTTTTTAATTCGTAATTAGTTTCACACCAAACGTGGCGACGGCTTTGACGGATGCCTGCATCCAGCAGAGGATGGATCACTGTGGCTGCTGGTGCTGCTCTTCGAGCAGAACAATGAAGGACACGGAACCCCAGAGAGTCACAGAGCTGCAGTGGTAGCCGGAAGAGGAGGCTCAGGCTCCGTCCACATCCCTGCTGCACCACCAGCGGTAGAGACTCCACGTTCATAAGGGCGGGGGCGAAGTCTATCATAGGACAGCCACTGATCACTTTCCTCCGTCGTAGTTATTGTAGCGACCACGGAGGAAGGGATGATGGGCTGAGTCCCCCACTCAGGAGTTGAACTCGGAAACTTCTGATTGCTGCGCACCCCTCGCTGCTCCACCACCGATTCATTTCGACGCGTAGACGATCTCCAGCATTCGTGACCAGAGTAAATCGCCTCCCGTGGAGCGCTCCGATCGTGATTACTGGAACAGATACGATTTCCTACATTCATAATAGATCTCCAGCATTCGTGACAAGAGTAAATCGCCTCCCGTGGAGCGCTCCGATCGTGATTACTGGAACAAATTCTGGAACAGATTCCCTACATTCATAATAGATCATCTGAGAGGGCCGGTGGCGCGGCGGTTAGCGCAATGCGCTATGAACCCGGTAACCAGTGCGTGGAAAGTGATATCTTAAGTGGTCCTAGGCTAACCCCACACACCCCATTCACCCACCCGCACTGACCAGCGTGGTGAAGTAAGCTCAAACCGGTAAAGTCACGTAGAAGGGAAACAATAAAATAATAAAAATACACATATTTTTATTATTTAAAAAATAAAATATTTTAATTATTTTATTGTTTCCCTTCTACGTGACTTTACCGAAAGAACCAAGAATATGAATCCCTGCAGTCACGAAAGCTTTAAATCAAAATTTAAGCTCAAACCGTCTACGAGTATCGCGTGACAGAGTGCATGTACTGTGCATACGGATGCCGTCGGCTAGAGAACACGTGCTGTGCTTGTGCATACCCGCGGGTACTTCTGCTATCACGGGAGAGGTCGTGTGTGTGCGTGATTACTCTAAGCGCATCTCTTGCGGTGACTGAGACCTCCGTGTTATTCCGGAATTTCTCCAGCAGTGCAAACACTCGAAATGTGCGCTTGTTTTTGCGTGATGTCGCTGTGCTGATCAGTGGCGCAGCGGTTAGCGCGCTGTGCTATGAAGGAAAAACAGTGGCAAATATGAGCCGGTTACGGGCATCCCCTGGGTTAACTGGGCGTTAAAACAAGTACCTATAGTGCGATGTATAAACATAGGCACTAGGAAGACAAGACACACTCGTGTGCCATGCCTTTTTATAGGTGCTCGCTAACAGCATTTGCCTTAAGAACCTGTATGGAGTTAGGCGGGGGATCTTTGTATTTGTGGTCGCTGGTAGAAACTCCAGTGTCTGGTCCTGTGACGTGGGGGACGATTGAAATCCACGTGGGACGAGGCTTAATTGGCTTGTAATTATTCAAATTGGTGTTGTGAAGAGAAGGTCAATTGCTTGAGGCATTGAACATTCAGCAACTAAACCCAACACTATAACACGTAGGTTTTTTAACACGTAGGCTTTCGCGACCAGTATTATTCATAATAAAGGGATTTGGGTTAGATCGCGTTATTATAGATGTGTCGCAACCCTCCACCACCTGACACGGCCAATCAGTAAAACATGTGTCACGTTAACAAAACGCCAATTAGTTACTTCTTCAGCCCACCGGTGTGTTTGAAGAGTGAATCCACAACATTTAGAATTTGAGTAGTACGACGTTTCGCTGGTACTTACATCCAACTCGACACATTCGTCGATACCACCGTGTGTAGACAACGTTTCGAGCAATGACCCTTTTTAATAGCACATTAATTTAGAGTTATATTAATTGTGCTCCAACACTGCTGGCTGCGTCCCGGCTATCCCTGTGTCCCTCGTGCCAAGGGCAGTATTCACCTCTTCACGTGTGACGTCATCAACTTCCTCCTCTGAAACGCATTCTTTATTTATCGCGAGGGCGTCGAGGATTCTGCCGGAGAGCTCTGCAGCGAATCCCTCCCCGGGGTTTCCGGTTCTGTCTCCGGCCGCGAGTGGCTGTGCTCAGCTCTGTGATGGCGACGCGGTGGAGTGGCGATCATCGCCACCCGCTCGGTGTTCTCGTGGGTTGCTGTCCCGTCTCCAAACGCGCCTCGTGTTTGGAAATTCCTCGTCCCATTTTCTAACGGCGTTACAGAGTTCCGTGCGTTCGTCTTGTTGGTATTTCCACCTCTCTACGCATATATTTATATTCCTCAACGTGCGGTTTCCATGAATGGATGCAGGCGCCGTATTCTCTGCATCGCCGTGTTGGAGGTAGGAGCTATAATCTCTGGCTACGTGGCCACGGGAGTAGCGGACGTGAGGCTACACAGAGTGGGTGTCAAGGGGGCTAAGCGAAGCGGACAGCACCACCACAAGCACCACCAGCGCACATTGAACAGCGCTGAACAGTGCGCAAAGAAGAGATACGTGTGCGTGGAATTGCACGGAAAACACAGAAACATGTGGATTAGAGAACATAACGCCGGTTCGACATCTTCATTCAGCATTGGATAGACCGTGATGATGGTGATAAGAATTAGACCGAGCGAGAGTGAGACACACGTGGACTCGAGGACGCCGTCGTCGGGCCGAGCGTCGCGGCGTGAGGGGCCCGGGCCGAGTCGACAGCGCCCAGGGGGGGGACCCTCACCGCGGAGGAGACAGAGCCATGAACCCGGCTCGTGTGTAGGAGCCACATCGATTGTGGCATTGCAGGGGCCGTGATAGATTGCTAAGGCGTGGGGAGGCCTTGATTCAGCGGTGGATAAATCGTGACTGATAAAACTGCGTCTGCTGCTGCTATGTAGATGGCGCGTACTGTGTTAGTACTGCATATAGACTATGGAGAACCCATGTGTACTGCTGGGTGGACAGAGGCGTGGAGATATGGAAGTTTGTTTTGCTGACCATTACACCGTGACAGAAACCCGCCTCATCAAGCGCACTCAGCCGGACAGAGTTCGCTGGTGATCGCCACTGGCGCAGATAATGGATAACGTGGGTGGGTGAGTGGGTGGGTGAGTGGGTGGGTGGGTGGGTGAGTGGGTGGGTGAATGAGTGGGTGGGTGAATGAGTGGGTGGGTGGGTGAGTGGGTGGGTGAGTGGGTGGGTGAGTGGGTGGGTGAGTGACCCATCTAATTGGGATGTGGGCGATGCAGCCATTAACAGACACGGAGTAGTAACTAAGAGACGCTGTCCGCCTCGGCGACCCGTAAGATATTTCGGTACCCGATACACCACATCCAGAATACCTCCTCTCGCTATGCCTCTGGATACGAGTTACGCGCCTTCTACTCTCGTGTCCCTAACGAACCACATACTCCTGAGTGATCGATTAAATCCCTGGTTGTAGTGATTGAGAGACTTGGGGGACTGTGCTTAATAATAATCGTGGGGGGCCCGCTCCCCCCTCCCCAGGTCGCCATGTCCGGCTCCCTCAGGTTCGGGGTCCCCGCAGAGGGGGGTCCGGGGACCAAGGGGGCACGGATTCGAACGGGACTGGGACAGGTGAGGCGACGGGGACGCGTCACGCCCGGCCGCCTTTGTCTCCCCAGTGCTGATGTTTACACACCGCACCAGGTACTCATTGTGAGGCTGAGTCGATTTAGGGGAGGCCCAGAATCGGTTCGGAATCACTCGCCACTCACTGACGGCTGCCGTGCGTAGATCAGACAACCCACGTGCGCACTTACACAATGCGTGCACATGTACACACCCAGCGCGGTGCACCAACCACTGTGCCATCGCAACCCACCACGCAAACACAAAGATCCCTCGTAGAGTCTTAACAGACTGTTGGGGCAATTGCTATTCGCGAGGAGCACCAATGTAGACCGGCACGGCACACGAGCGGTCGGTGGTCCGCACCACGCCCGGCCGCCTTTGTCGCCCGAGTGGCGATGTCTCCACAACCATTGCAGGTACTCATTTAAGTCTGAGTCTACCTACGGGAGGCCCACGACCGGTTCAGATAATCGGCACTGGTGTTGATGGCCGTGAGCGGAATTGGAACTCGGGTCGTCGGGTTCATAGCGCAGCGCGCTAACCGCTGCACCACCACTCCCCACCTTGGTACCTTGCCTCACAGATTCACAGTGTACACACGCGCGCACACGCACAGTGTGTGCATTAACACGTAACGCTGTACATTAAGATAACATTCAAAGCGCGTTCACAACGTCCGTGTAGGTTCTCGTGGTCGTGATGCTGTGAACCTATTCGAAGCGTCGTCGGGATGTAGCCGCTCTGCATCGTTCGGCACGATGTCCGATGTTTCGCTCCACGTGCTGGGAGTATCTGTAGGAGCTCCCAGCACGTGGTGCGAAACATCGCACATCGTGCCGAAGGACGCTTAGCGGTCATACCTCGAACACGTGGCAAAGCTAATGGCCATGCAGCGCCAGGAGACGACGGAGTTCAGAGCCGCAGCAGAATGAGCACACCACAGCCTCAAAAACATCTCCATCAGCCTGGCAGGCACTCGGTGTCTCGCCATCGACGCAGCCGAGCTTGCAGGAAGGAGGCGAAGGCTGCGAATCCATTGTCGCCTTTATTCTCCACCACGCTCCTAGGTTCGAGCTTTGCGTCGAACCTAGGACCCACATCTCACAAGAGAGGGTCCTTTGCCAATAATATCTGGCAGTTTTCCAGTATTGGTTCAAGCCGGCCAGAATCTGCTGATGAGGCGCTGAGTGGCTCGGTGGAGAGATACTGAAGGGGGTGGGGGAAACGCGATGGTGGGGGCAATATTGGATTAGGGTAACATTTGTAAACAATTTAGGACTTTGACTATAAAACGTGATTGGGTAATTGCCTCATTGGGCGTTAATGAGCAGCGCCCCTCCCCTCTCCTGCAGGCGATTACCCTGCTCCCCCCCCTTCCCCCCGTTGCTCGGGGGCGTGACCCTCATGACTCCTGACCGTGACCTCTGACCGTGACCTTGACCGTGCAGGCTCCCCGCTCGGGCCACGTGCCCCCCCACGAGGAGGCGGGGTCGCGCTCCCCCCCTCCCTCGTCCACCTCGTCCACCTCGTCCGCACGCTCCCCGGCGGGGCCCTCGCAGCAGGGCCCCCCCGCGGGACCGGTGAGAGCCCCCAGCGCGGAGGGAGGGGGGCCCTCCTCGCCAGGGCCCTCCGGACCCCCCCAGGGTGGCCCCGTGAAGGTCCCCCCCGTGTGCGCGCGGTGCGGACACGAGATCCTCGACAGATTCCTACTCAAGGTGAGACACGAAACGGGACCACGGGAACCAACATGAACCAGAACCTCTAGAAATCCAAGAACCTTCAGAACTACCACGAACCAGAACCACAAACCACCAGAGTCACGAACACGAAGACTCCAATCTTCAGAACCAAATCTCTCCCCCCCTCCCCCCCCCCCGAATTCTGCCCGCCACGTGGGAGGCCTATCATCACCATATCCTCCTTTTAGGGTCGAGAAAATTAGTACCATTTTGTTAGCAAGTTAACAGCGGTTGTTGTCCTAGGAATAGCCTCGCCCTCGTCATATGAACGTGTAATTTCCGCCACTCGCTCTTCAGGATTGTAAATGGGAGACGCGCACCCAAGCCGCGACGGTGCACGGGGAATGCAAGCACGACGTCGCTACGGGGGAGGGCCGTGCGAGACTTCGGTGACCGTCCTGACACCGTAACCCCCGTGTGCCCCCCCCCCCCCCCGATAGGTGAGTGAGCAGTGCTGGCACGTGCGGTGCCTCGCGTGCTCCGTGTGCCACAGCCCCCTGAGCCGCCACAGCAGCTGCTTCTACCGCGACAGAGACGTCTTCTGTAAACTTGACTACCTCAGGTGCTGCTCGCCACCGCCGCGGCTCCTCACCATCCCCACAGCTCCTCGTCACAGCTTTCGAGAACCTCGCTACATATGACCAAACTCACCACAGCTTGACACCACACACTTCCAATACCCATTGCTACAGTCTACATTACAGACTGCCAGTACACTCACTCCGATCAAGCACCAGGCTACAGTATTATTTTTAGTCACTTTTTATTTTTCTATCTACGTGAAAGAACCAAAGAATATGACTTCCAATACTGTTTGCCAAAACGCCTCGCCAAGCAACCACAGCAGCACCCCTCGCCACGATCCACCGTGGCTCGCCTGCCGCGGCATCCTCTCGCTGCGCCACTTGGCTCTCGGTGACCCCCGGTCTACATCACGTGGTTATTACCTGGACCAGTAATGTCTCCTCCACATACCCGCCTCTCCACATATCCGAACTCGGCTCACCGGATTTATAGTGCAGTGCGCTAAGCACTGTACATGCACAATAGCGCGGTTGGCTACGTATGGTGTGATAGAAGTTCAACATGCAGCATACATACATCACGACCCTACCGGTGCAAAACAGTCGACGTTTCAGTCAACGGTCTTCTCGTTCTTCCATTGTGAATGAACCCAGGCGCTTCGGGCGCAAGTGCTCGCGTTGCGGACGCCACGTGCAGGCGAGCGACTGGGTGCGGCGTGCCCGGGGCCTCGTGTTCCACCTCGCGTGCTTCGCGTGCGCAGCCTGCAAGCGCCAGCTCGCCACGGGCGAGGAGTTCGGCCTGGCCGACGGCGGCCGCCTCTTGTGCAGGGCGCACTACCGCGCCTTCCTGCAGCAGCAGCAGGGGCATCAGGGTGCAGCGCCTGGCCAAGGGCAAGGAACCGTGGCCACTTCGACCGCGGCGCCCGCCGGCCTCCTCCTCCAACACGGTGCGTGTGGGGTGTGAGTGGGGTGTGTATGGTCGGGGTGAGTGGGGTGCGACTTGTGTGTTCGTGTGGGAGCAGTAGCGCAGTGGTTAGCGTGCTGCGCTACGAACCACGAGATCGGATTCCACTCACGGCCACCAACGCCAGTGACGATTATCTGAACAGGTCCTGGGCTTCCCCTAGGTCGACTCAGCCGGGCGTGGGGCTGGCCACCATCGCGTGTGCGATGCCAGCCTTCGTAGGTGCTCGCTAGCAGCACTTCCCCCAATCGGTCTGTGAAGGCTATACAGGGGATCTTTGTCTTTTGTCACGGCATCAGGAACAGAGAGCCACCGTGAGATTTTCATTCCCGTAGAAATTTGGACCTCGTTCCCCCGGGGGTCAGAATGCCACGCGTCGCTATTTGCAAACAATCAGCTGCATTAAATTCTGTATTGTTTGATTTATTATTCACTAATTATATTTTTTGCTGGTAATGTAATGTCTTTTGTAAAATGTTACTTTTAATTGTTGATTACGATGATGATGAATCATCAGCTGTAGAGGGCAGATTGTTATTGCGTGAAACGTAGTTACCTTGGCAGCGTGGCCCAGCACCTTAACGGATCCAACAGGGGGGGCAAGCGGGGGTGATCACGTCACGCGGTGTGTCCTTTGTGACGCGGGGGTTCTGTGTGTCGCAGGCGCCGTGGGGGGGCCCGAGGGGGGGGCCCTCCCCGCAGGGGGCGAGGGGGAGGGGGCGCAGGGGAAGCCGGCGAAGCGAGCGCGGACCTCCTTCACGGCAGAGCAGCTGCAGGCGAGAGCTCACACGTGCGCACACACGTGTACACATCTGTGCGCACACACGTGTACACATCTGTGCGCACACACGTGTACACATCTGTGCGCACACACGTGTACACATCTGTGCGCACACACGTGTACACATCTGTGCGCACACACGTGTACACATCTGTGCGCACACACGTGTACACATCTGTGCGCACACACGTGTACACATCTGTGCGCACACACGTGTACACATCTGTGCGCACACACGTGTACACATCTGTGCGCACACACGTGTACACATCTGTGCGCACACACGTGTACACCGGCGTACACACAAAGACAAATATCCCCCGTGTAGCCTTAACAGACTGTTGGGGCAAGTGTTGTTAGCAAGCACCTACGTAGTTACAGGTGTGTGTCTACAGGTGAATGAACAGATGTGTGTGTGTGTGTATATAGGTGACAAACGCACACCTGTAGACACACACCTGTAGACACACACCTGTCCATACACTCCTGCTCATACATCTGTACACACTCATCCCTGTACAAAGACTTGTACACACACATGCATAGCACCGCTGTGCACGCATCCTGTGGCCCCGTGTCTAAGCGGCCCCGTGGCTCAGGTGATGCAGGCGCAGTTCGCCCAGGACAACAACCCCGACGCGCAGACCCTGCAGAAGCTGGCCGACCTCACAGGGCTCAGCCGCAGGGTCATCCAGGTGAGCCTCACTCACTCGCCACACATCTCACTCATCCTTCCCCATTACACCCCACTCCTCACCAAAGATCCCCCATACAGCCTTTAACAGACTGTTGGGACAAGTGCTGTGAGCAAACAAATAAAGACTGGCACGGCACAAGGGGTGAGTGGCCAGGGCCGTGCCCGACCGCCTTTGTCTCTCCTGTGCTGATGTTTACACAGCGCAACAGGTACTCATTTAAGACTAAGTCGACTGAGGGGAGGCCCCAGACCGGTTCAGATAATCGTCACTGGAGTTGGCCGTGGAATTGAACCAGGGGCATTATGTTCGTAGTGCGGCACGACAACCATTGTACCACCGCTTCTCACGACAGTACATACCTGTACATCCACCCCTGTAACATACCCAGGCACACCAGTGCACACCCCCTTGTGTGTACCCCCACCACACACCCCCTCAACTCCCTCCGCTCCTCACCCCCTCAGGTGTGGTTCCAGAACTGCCGTGCGCGACACAAGAAGCACGTGTCGCCTCCTCCACACGCGCAGGGGGCGGGGGGGCCAGGGGCCCCGGGGGGGCGGCACCCCCATCCACACCACGTGGCCGTGGAGCTATCCTACCCCGCCTACAGACACCACTACAGTACGTGACTACACCCTTCTGCAGCAAGTGACGATACCCAACAGCACCAACTCCACCCTATAGCACTTACTACACCCAACAGCATCCCTAGAACACGTGACTACGCCGGAGATCACGTGAGTGACTATTCTACCCCCCCCCCACCCCCAGGCCCCTCCCCTCCGATGCTGCCCCCGCACTGCTCCATGCCGCACCTGCACTTCACGCACCTGTAGGGGGCGAGGGGGAGGGTGGAGGTGGGGGGCGAGGGGCGGGGGGGGGAGATCCCCCCCCCCCCTCCTGCAGGACGGACCCTGCGGATCGGGAGCCACGACCTCGACGACCCCGGGCCCCTTTGAGCCGCGGTGTGGCGCTCCGGGAGGTCGCGGTGTGGCGCGCGTGGTTACACGGAGAGGACATCGCAAGCCGCACTGCGGAGCCCACACTCTACCCCCACTCCCCCTCTCTTGCACCCCCACGGCCCCTCAATAAATGTGTGTATATTTGTACCCCCCAACTCCCGTGTAGTGAATTTTCGCACGCAGGCACGCACAGACGCCTCGTCACTCTGGTAGCGCTCCTGCCGTGGTTCCTGCTCCCGCGAACTTCATTCGACGATTCCTCCACCCGTGTTTAGGACTCCGTCAACCAAACTGTATCGTCTCATCCACACTGTTCAACGACCACCACCTGCAACAACACGCTCACTCACTCGCTCACACGCTCACTCACTCGGCGCTCACCCACTCGGCGCTCACCCACTCACTCGCTCACTCACTCGGCGTTCACCCACCCGCTCGTTCACTCACACGCTCACCCACTCACTCGCTCACTCACTCGGAGCTCACCCACCCGCTCGTTCACTCACCCACTCACTCGCTCACTCACTCGGCGCTCACCCACTCGCTCGTTCACTCGCCCGTTCACTCGCCCGCTCGCCCGCCCGTTCGCTCACTCGGCGCTCACCCACTCACTCGCTCGCTCACTCGGCGCTCACCCACTCGCTCGTTCACTCACCCGCTCGTTCACTCACTCGCTCGCTCACTCGGCGCTCACTCACTCGCTGCTCATCACCCACTCACCCGCTCACCACATTTCTCTGTCTGCTTCTATCCATCGCACTGCTCCACTTTAGAATCCCCTCTACCATCAGCGTCATCTCTTTTTCCCCCAAACTATAACAATAATAACCTTGGCAAATTTAGGGCGCGCGTTACACTCTTATCTATTACACCCTTTGATCGTGCAGTTTGTTGCTGACCGCTGGACCTTTGTGGGTGAGAGTGAAAGAGAAGTGCTGTGACCTGCAGTGTTGGTGTGCGAGTGGGCGAGCGAGCGTGGTGGCTCCGCTCGGACCGCTACAGGCAGAAGGAGCGAGTCCTTGACGTTGGGCGGAGGCGTCAAGGAAGCAATGAGCGCGGCAGCAGCAGCAGCGCGAGAAGAGTGGCGAGGAGAGCCTTTACTCGGTGGGGGTGCCACAGCCAGCGCGATGTGTGAAGGGGGCTGCGGTGTGCGGCGTGGGGGCGGGGAGACGATGCCCAAAATAAAACGCGACACGCGCGCCGAAGCCCCCAGCACACACTACACTCTGGGGTTGTAATGGATTTACATTAACCGGTAACCGCATGAAGAAAACCTGGTAAGAATCGGTTATCGGTTTGCTGCACATATACTGCACACGTGTCTAACCGTGAACATGAAAGTGATGCGTGTATGCAATTGGATCAAGTGTATGTGAGTGTGTACGGGCGTGTGTGTTCTCAGCACTTGCCCCACAATTCCGTAAAGGCTATACGGGGATATTTGTGTAAGTGTGCAAGTCGGTATGTGTATACGCTTGTGTAAGTACCGGTATATAAGTCTGAGTTTGTAAGTGTACAGTATACTGTATGTGTGAGTTAATAAATGTGTTTGAGTGTAAATGTGAGTGTGTTTGTAAATGAGCAGGTATGTAAGCGTGTTTGTAAATGTAAGCGTGCGGATAGATATCTGTGCGAGTGTGTAAATGTGTGTCAATCCACAAGCATGAGCGTGTGTCAGTGTGAGTGTGTCAGTGAGTACATGCGAGAGTGTACGCGTGTGTCAGTGTGTACGTGTGAGTGTATAAGGGCCGGCCCTTCCGTTTCCAGGCGAGAATGGAAAATATCAAGGTCACGTGTGCGAGGTGCGGCACGGGAAATCAGAGAGCGTATCACGGGGACCTTGGGGGGACCCTCGGAGTCCAGAGGGGACCTGGCATCTACGGAACCATGGGGAACCTGGGAGAACCGGGGGAGACCAGATTGGATCTCGGGAGAACAAGAGAGACCTGAGATCTCAAAGCCTGAGGGTTTGGAACCTGGCATATTCGGGATCTTAGCCCAGGAGAACCACGAGGATACGACATGGGGGGGGGGGGGGGGGGGACCTGGATTCTGGAAAACCGGAGACCTGGGTCTGCAGACCTGGGAACATGTCGGGTATCTGGATCCTGGGAGAGCAGGGAGATTGGGAACCTTGGGAGGCGCGGGAAGTGACAAAGGGGGGCCCTGGAGGAGATGGGCAAACCAGAGAGCGAGGGGGTTGAGGCTGTGGGATCAGCGATCCAGCGCTGTGCAGCTGGGAAATTCACACGAAGCTGGTGCCTGCATCGAGGTGAGAAGAGCAGCGAGACCTGGGGTGGGATGCAGGGGTGTGTGCGGGGTGTGTGCGGGGTGTGTGCGGGGTGTGTGCGGGGTGCGTGCGGGGTGTGTGCGGGGAGCGGTGACAGTCATGAGCGCACTGCTCTATAAACGGCGACCTAAATTCGATTCCTGATCATGACCAATTACTGAGAAATTATCTGAATTGCTCCTGGGGCTCCCCGAGGTCGACTCGGCATTAAGAAATGAGTACTTGGTGCGAAACATGTGCAAACATCGCCACTGGGGAAACAAAGGCGACCGGGCGTGGTGCAAACCACGAGCTCAACTGTGCGCCCTGCTGGTACTTAGTAACAACACTTGCCCCAACAGCCTGTGAAAGGGTGTACGGAGCATCTTTGTGTGGGGTGTGTGAGAGAGAAATGGAGTGTGTTTTGTATATGGTGAGGAGTGCTCTGGGTGGTGAGTATCGTGAGTGGTGAGCGGGGGGGGGGGAGGCTGTGTCCGGCGCCGCTCCCTCTCCGCCCCCCCCTTCCCCCCTCCCTTCCTGCGAGCTCTCGGGGCCAGGCCCCCAATTGTTCCCCGGGACCCTCTCGGTATTTATGGCGTCCAGGTCCCTCCCTCCACCTCAGCGTCCTCAACCCCCCAAGCTTACTCCTCCCGTACCCCCTAGCCCAACTCTATCCAGAGCACTAACCCTGCCCATAACCCTGCCTCAGTCCTGCTCATAACCCGAGTCCGAACTCGACTTCCAAAACTTATCCCTGACACTCCCCTTATCCCTGATCCTCAAACCTACCCTCAATCCTTACCACTACCTCTAACCCTTCCTCTACCCTCACCGCTACCCGAACCCATCACCTCAACCCCGCCCCTCAACCTGAGCTGGACCCCTCTTGCGAACGAGATATTTTATCTCACGGGATCCTCAAGGTGAACATTTTAAACTGAAAATAATAAAGTTAGCCATACCTCTAACGTCGCCTCCTCTACCCCTACACGATACCCCTACCTCTACTCCTACAATATACTCCTACCTCTACTCCTAACTCTACCCCTACTCCTACCTCTAGTCCTACCCCTATCTCTACCCCTACCTCTACACCTACCTCTACTCCTACCTCTACTTCTACCTCTACTCCTACCTCTACTCCTACCTCTACCCCTACCTCTACCCCTAACTCTACCTCTACTCCTACCTCTACTCCTACCTCTACCCCTAACTCTACCCCTACCTCTACCTCTACTCCTACCCCTACCGTTACTCCTACCTCTACCCTGACCTCTACTCCTACACTCTACCCCTACCTCTACTCCTACCTCTACTCCTACCTCTACTCCTACACTCTACCACTACCTCTACTCCTACACTCTACCCCTACCTCTACTCCTACACTCTACCCCTACCTCTACTCCTACACTCTACCACTACCTCTACTCCTACACTCTACCCCTACCTCTACTCCTACACTCTACCCCTACCTCTACTCCTACACTCTACCACTACCTCTACTCCTACACTCTACCCCTACCTCTACCCCTACCTCTACCCCTACGCCCTACCTCTACCCCTACCCCAATCTCTACTCCTACCTCTACCCCTACCTCTACACTCTACTCCTACCTCTACTTATACCTCTACTCATACCTCTACCCCTACCTCTACACCTACCTCTACACCTACCTCTACTCCTACCTCTACTCATACCTCTACCCCTACCTCTACACCTACCTCTACTCCTACCTCTACTCCTACCTCTACCTCTACTCCTACCTCTACCCCTACCTCTATTCCTACTTCTACTCCTACACTCTACTCCTACCTATACTCCTACCTCTACTCCGACCTCTACTCTGACCTCTACCACTACATCTACCTCTACTCATACCTCTACTCCTACCTCGACCCCTACTTTTACCTCTACCCCTACCTCTACCTCTACCCCTACCTCTACCCCTACACTCTACTCCTACCTCTACTCCTAACACTTGTTTTACCAAACCCTAACATTCTCCTGCCTCTACCGCTATCTGAACCCATAACCCTAATACCTTACCCCTGACCCTACCCCCTACTCAATGCGGAACCCCTCCGATACCCGACCGCTTTAACTCGCTGCTCTTCCGGCAAAGCGCCGCGAATCGCCTAAATAAATAAGTGCAGAGACTCCTACTCCGTGGAAGGGGGGGGGGGGGGTCAGTGCACTTCGCTACGAACCCGGTAAACTGAGTTCGACTCTCGCTCACGGCCAACATTGGTGACGAATCGGTGTTGGTCCTCCCTAGCCAACCGAAAACTTGTTTCACTATTAATTTAACCACGTCGGCGTGTCCATAGTGCATTGCGCTAACTACTGCGCCACCGCTCCCCGCTGGTGTGCATGCGTGTATACATGTATACACACATGCGTGAAAACATGTATGCACACATGCGTGTGTGTGTGTATACATACACACACACACGCGTGTGTATTACTGAGTACACGTGGTTGTACTGATCTCACTCGCGACTTCAGGGCCAAATAATCCGCCACAGCCCGCCCCCCAGGTATCCAGACCCCCCCCCCCCCAAGCCCGACCCCCCCCCCCCCCCCCCATTGAGCAGCGCGAGTCCGTGGGGAGGGGGAAGGGCGGTGGTGATGGGGGAGGCTGTGGTGAAGTGGGGGCAGTGCCCCCACTGCTGTCCCTCTCCCCACGGGGGGCGCGCATGATGGGGGAGGGGAGTGCAAGGTGGAGATTATTTATTGAGCAGAACCCGCGTCAGACACGAGAGGCCGAAGCTCGTCACCCCCCTAGCCCCCTCCCCCCATTACCCCCCCTCCCCCCCGTGCCATTGACAGCCGAGCCCCTTCCCCCGCCCCCTCGACTCGGGGACAAATTACCGGAAACCGGCGCG